TGCACCCAACCATCCAGAAACCCAACCCAAATTCTCCGAGATGATCTTCTTGGTACTATAACTTGAGTACTGCCCCCCCAGTAACAGTCTATATTAGGGGTCCTATTAAGGGCTATATATAACCATATGAAAAATTATTATCCAACTGTTACTGAGGCAGTACCCACATTCTAATATACTATATGGTGTACTGCGGTATATTTAATATATAATAGTATATCATTGGTACTTTTGTATATTATGGTATACTACGTGGCCTGACAGTTTTTGCAGTCTTGCTCTGGTGTCCAACTCCAAAACGAAAAAAGCTTGCCTTGGTCCTCGTCCCGCACTGGTTGCAAAGCAGTTGCTGACTTTTTCAGAGAAGTTGTGCGGCCATGCTTTGGCTTGCTTGGCTGCTCTGTGCATGTGGCTGCATGCTTACCTGTGAGTCGTTGGTGTCAGATACTGGCAGCAAGTTTTGTGCTTCTGTAGCGGCCGATGCTAAGTTCTACCGCTTGGTAACACTTGCCAATGCCTGGCCGCCATGTGCTAGCAGCCTACATCATACCAATTCCTCAAATTCCTCAATTCGTTTTGGCACGGCCGCGCTTACTTTTGCATGGCTTTTCCATCCCCCTGAGGCCCACACTGTGGACAGAAGCGCCAAGCGCAGCCTGACTCTTGGTCACTGGTGGGGCTCTCGGGACGATTGGAGGACAGCCGCTGTGCTGACTTGGCGGTTCGTAACGTCGGGATGCATGAGGAGAAACGTCTCAAAACACGAGCCTGGTGCTAAGCCTCAGCCAGGAGAGTAGTCAGTCATCCAACAGTTTTGATTGCCTATCATGCTTCAGGATCAGGATCCTCAAAAACTTCTGTACTGGTACTGTAGGATCGATGTTCCCGCATTTTAGAAACTCTCATGTCTTAAGCGCTTCCCGCAAGTGCGCTGTGGAGCCCGGGCTGGCCAGACAGACATGAGGTGGGTGTGGTTCAGGGCATATGTGAATATAACACGACTAGTACACGCCGTGTGTTTTCGCAAGTCTGCATCCTTGCTGTTTCTTGCCTAGGTTTGCTGTGTGAGCTTGGTGACTGTTTGTGTGGAGTACCCTATATGTATGTGTATATCTTTTCAGAACTTGGCCTGCAGGACATTTGCCGGGACATCCGGCGCAGTGTGGAGCTACCAAGCTGAAGTTGGCATCTGATTGCTTCCGTGCAGGAGAGGAAAGGCTCCTGCTAACGCGGACTGACCTGCTGCAAAAGCGTGTTTGTGGTGTCTTGGTGTCTTTGTCACATATTTCATGGTATATTGGATTTTATGGGGTAATATTGGGATATACAGGAGTATAGAGGACAAGTGGAGAGCCAAATGGAAAAGACTGTGGACCATGAAATGGAAACTGCTGTGACTCTTTCGAAGCATTCCGTCCGACGCCTTTGTCGCTTAGGCATGAGTTCACACTGTCAGAGCGACAGCTGCAGGCGTGCAGTCGCTTTGATATCTCGGCCGTCCCTGAAAGACCAGACCAAAGGGTTATATGGGATCTATGGGTTACTCAAGATTATGTAAAATAATGGAAAAGCGAATGGAAACTACTATAATGTTTATGTGGGTTACCCACGATTATGTATAGTATTGGAAAAGCAAATGGAAACTACTACGTCATACCAGGGCAAATACTACCTTGTCGGGCATCAAAAGCCGACAGTGTCAACTCGTGTGTTCACCAACAGTGTGAGGAAGGAATCGCCCATGATATGAATTATGAATTACAAAGTCTTAGCAGATAAGTGGTTTGATTACCTGCAGACATGAGTTCAAGTGCCAGCTAGGTATCCCTCGTTCCCTCGCAGTTCAGACAACATAGCATTTCCTCTTGCAATGGGCAGATGCCTCTGATGAGAACTGGGTTTTTGGATGTTGCAAGACTCTTTTTTTCTGGCCATGGTGTAGGACTGAACAGTGGCAAGCGCATATAGGCACCACGCTACCTCAACACAGCACCACAGCTTTGTTTTCCGCACGAATTTCCGAAAGGCCTTACGCAGGCATTCGTGGCATAGCATCGGGGTATAGAAGACAACGCCTTGTTACAGCTCGGCGTTTCCTGATGTATGAGGTGTGAAAACCAGTATCGAACGACTAAAGGTACTGATGTCTCCTCGCCCAACATAGGAGCTTTTCCAGAGGTACTGTAGGGGAAGCGTGCGGGCGTCATGTAAGAAGTGCTGCTGGATTTTGGTGAGAATCATTCCTTGGCATATGCGCGAGGCCCAGTTCCATGCAGATCTCGAAGCGCATCGGCTGCGTGCGGAAGCGTTGGCTTGCCAGCAGCAGGCACTTAGTTGCAGGTCTGTAATGCAGAAGGCTTGGCAGCATCCGTGAGTTTCTGGTGTGGATAGCACTCGACAACGTCTGGGAGTGGCTTCGGATGCTTCGGCTGCAGAAGCCGTCGGAAGTACACAGCATGCTGCCCGGAAGCTTGCTTCTGTCAACGTTGCCAGGCACCTCAAGCTTATGTTGTCACAGGAATGCATTCGGCAGTTGCCTGAACACCGTCTCGCATTCAGGCCAAGATCGAAGCATTGGAGCACGAGGTAAAAACGACCACCAAGAAGCTGGAGCTCAAACAGAAGCAGGCCAGGGTTTTTGTCAGCCAAACCATCCTTGTAAACAGCATGCCTAAGTGCGCTAGTTGCTGATGCTTTGCGTGGAGTCTGTGACCAGCGTGCTGCTTCCTCGCCATTTCTCCCGAGCAGGGCTTCAAGTCAGCTGTGTTGAGTGATTGCTGGAAGGTGAAAGAGTCCTTCGCCTTGTCGCTCAGAGTGCGACAGAATTTCTTGGCTCGGCTGGCCTTTGAGCGGTCCTTCCGCGCATGGCAGGCATCTGGCAGTTGTAGAAGACTGTATTGCGATTGCACCTCAACCTGTCACAGTTCTGAACGCAGTCTCAGCGGAAGCTCTGTGCAGATGCGTTTGCTAGAGTCTGCTCGGCCAGCGTGGGCGAGGCTTCTGAACACATCAGAAATGCAAAGCATAAACCTGTGCTGCCATGCAACTTTACAGGCGCGGGCCGCGGAAGCCAAGGAAGAGCAACAGGGCATCTGAAGAAGAGACAGACTTCCCATGTCGGCAATACAATCCATGCAAGGTCTTCTGTTGACTCCTCTCAGTACTTCTGTTTACCCTTTCGCAAGTTTAACATCGATCAAAGGCGTGATTGCATGAAGCTTGCACAAGTCTGCAGCGGTCGGAATCGCTCATTTTGCTTCGGTTGCACGTTGAAACAAAATCAACAGCCCAAGGCAATTGCAGAACAAGCTGGTGCCATACCTGCATCAAGAAATCTTGCAGCGATTTGTCTGGAGAAGGTGCCGGCTTGCAGGGCTTGCTAGCAAACTCCGTTACATGGGAACGGTCCATTCGCCGCTAAGCCCTTCTGGCGGCGTAGGGCCTGAGATTTCTCAACTGAAAGACATCCAAGAAGTTGCAAATGCAAAGTCCGCAAAGATGAAGCTAAAGGAATTGATGTGTTTCAAACAGTATCTCGCAACAGATGTTTCAAACAGTATCTCAACTAGCAACAGATGCCTGCGCAAGAATCCGCTGCTTAGGCCCTGTCTTAAATTTAGAGCTTGGAAAGCCCTTTGAGACGAAGTTGGCATCATGGAGCCTTCGTAGCTCGGGCTTCTTCTTTGGACTTGTGCCATATAGATTTAGGGTTTAGGGTCTAGGGTTGGTAAACAATTACTTGGGCTGTATGGAGATTTTGAAAACTTCGCAACATAGTCAGTACAAAAGGCACGCCCATTTTGAAATGTTTGCATATGGAATCCTGCTACAGATCCCTCTCTAAACCCTGCATGATACCAATTGTCATTTCATGTTCCATGATCGTACCCATGAGGGTGCCCTAAGAAGGGAACAGCCCTTCGAGTGCCCCAAGCCTCTTCGCCGCCCGCTTTGGCCATGATAGTCTTCCACTACCCTATTATAGCAAGGCGGTTCCTGTTTTGCTGTCCATTATCCGAGAAGCCCCGTATAATCCCTGCAGACCCTCATGCATATTGGTGTCCATATCATTTTCCATTTGATTTTTCATGTTTGGTGTCCATGTTCTATTCCATTACTCGCAATATTATATCCCGACCTCTCCCCTATATAACCCCATAATACCCCCTATGACCCCAGAGCACATCTTACAACTACATATAGCCCACCGTAATAACCCGCTTTATGATAGTTTCCGTTCGCTTTTCCATGATTCCTGCAACCGCCTTATGATAGTTTCCTTTGCTTTTCCTTTATTCCCTATCCTTCCGAGGTCAGCCACCAGCAGGGCCAGCGCTTAGTTGCAGCTCTCTTTGCGTCCTGGCGCCAGGATGCGCAGAGCGGAAGCCGCATCTTTGCCAATACTTAGCAGGGATTATGTGGGGTCTCTGTTAGGGGTCTTTTTCGAGGAATGTAGGACAAGGAGCAGTAGGTGTTGTGGCGCTGAGTGGGGGGGAAATGTGAGAGGAATGGGATAAGTGGGCAACTATGGCCTGGGCCTTTTAGAGTGGAGAAGTGGAGCCTTCTTCGGCAGAATTCAGCACAAACTGTTCCATTTCGAAGTCTCCGAAGCCTTTGTAAGGTTGTCCCGCCTGGAATCGTGCAATGTGACTTCCAACTGAGGAGGTAAGTGGGTGTAGTGCTGCAGACCCAGTCGGAAACCGCTTGCAAAGCGAATTTGAGTGGCAGCCATGATCAACAGTAGCAGTGCTCAGAACGACACTGTTCAGAACCTGGACTCGGGATGGTTTGCAGGCAATATTGGCGGCATTGCGAACCTTCACCAACCTTCGAAGCTTCATTTTTCCCTTTTTTCCTTGCCTTGGCCATCCGCTCAGGTGACCGAATCATTGCGCATGAGCGGGCGGCAGCGGGTGCAGTGCGCGCCAAGCTGTTCGAGCAGCCGCCTGTCTTGCATGGCCGCATCAACTCCAGCTCGGAAGAAGCGGTCAGCATTGTGTTCTTCTACGATCTTCTACGCGCCTGATTAAGGATGGAGACTGAGCGTGGGCAGCTCATTGCCCAGGCCCTTGCCTGCCTGAAGCCCTCAACGTGGATCATTTATGGCTGTCTTTGAGCAAAACCTTTCCTGATGCCTATGACGTGGGCATGAGGATCTACGAGTTACGGAGCACAAGAAAGAAGAATTCAGGGGAAGGTGACAACGGGCAGCAGCACAATAATGAGCCCAAGCTCAAAGGAGTGGCAAGAGGAAAAGCAAAGGACCGCTACAGTTCAGGAAAAGCATTACTTACAAAGGTCAGGGCTGTGATTGGATGAGCCAAAAGCGCAGCATGTGCCCATTCATGCAGGTGGAGGATTTGAAGCGACAGCTCTCCGAGGAGGGGAAGCAGAGCCTTGACTGAATCCCAGTCAAGTTCTTGTAAACTATTATGACCATTATTATTTTTATTCTACTACTATTATTACTATTATTACTAGTACTTTTGTTCTTACTATTATAGCTGTTATTACTGCTATTACTACTATCACTGTTCTACTCCTCGACCTGAGCCAAGCCTGCTTTGATAGCTCCTTTGGGTTTCAAGTAGTGGTTGAGTTCATCATGGCTCCGGTTTTTGCTTGAGTGAAGCGCCCTGTGCTTTGATCACGCTAATCTAGCAATGTGGCACCGGCTTCGGCACCCGCTTTAGTTGGGGTGCCTTCTTCAGTTTCAAAGTCTACCTACTGTTTTGAGGGACCTTGTTCGAGAACAAGTTCGTTTTGGAACTCTGAAGGTTCAAAATCATTTTTTGCTGCACGAAAGGTATAGTTTGGCTTAGAGGTCTTACGAAGACTGAGATTAATTACACACCCAAATTCTTCAGGGGTACTCCAGGGTCCTCAATTGTGTGGAGTCAAGTACGGAGCTGGCACACAAGGGGCTCGTCAAGGCGTGAGTCTTTTTCTGCAGTCCCAATAGGATTGGGGCGTGCAAGCCCCTCGCAAATCAAGGAGGGCTCTCCTCCAGGACAACTTGAAGCGCGTCTTCATGCGAGGCACAGACATAGCATACCCTCCTTTCAGATGCAGGAAGACTATTAACAAGGGTGGCAGTACACCGGTTGCTTACACTTCTATGCAAAGCATGAGGAAAAGTATCATCAAACCCCGAAACATGTGCACAGAGTGTAAGTTGGGATCTGACATGCTGGCAGGGCCTCTGCGAATAAAATCAATGTCCATGACATGTGCGCATGAACCCATGGGTCAGACAGCACTCCACCTCAGCTTTGTGTTTCAAGCACCCTGCTGTTTAGAGCACGCGGCATGCCCAATACGATAACCAGGGATTATTCATGAGATCACATTGCGAGACCTTTGGCATACGATAGTTGAAGGTACTTTTCTTAGTTGAGATTTATGTCGTTTTTTGGGAATGCCTGTAGAACCCCACCAGTTCGGACCAGGTGTTTGTGCCTTGAACTTCGAGGCCATGTCACTGCTCTCAGACCCAGGCCAGGACTATCGCGCATAGCATTATGGCAGCAGGAGTAATTAGTAAACCACGGCTTGCCCCACAGATCGTCAGCTTCAGGTGCAGGTGGTGGAGTGCTGGGAGGCTCTGCTGGCGCTTTGGAAGGTGCCTCTCCTTTCTGCATCCTTTTTCAGGGAAAGGAAATGGGTCGTCTGCTTATGGGACACGGCTTCGTACAGCCCTGAAGTGAAGGCCTTCTCCCCTCCGAGCCAGCAGTGGCTGAGCCTGTCGCAGCTTCTTCTGCCGTTCAAGCGCTGAGCTCATACTGGGTTGACACAGCTAGGCCTTTTCTCCAGTTGACTGACTTCAGCATTGCAGACATGCCCACGATGACGTGAAGCCAAGGCAAGTTCTACCGCAGCACTTGCTCCACCAGCTGTGCTTGCACAGGAGTCTTCACCGCTGTGTCTTAGCATCTGATGCATCTGTATTGGTGCTCGATTTCGCGTTCCTTGTTGCAGGATGGCCTGGCACCACCGCCAGCAAAGACAGCAGAAGGCAACATGAGTCTCACGGTATCGTGCTTGTCAGCAGCAATTCTTGCCGTGGAGTTCTTCATACAGTGACGTGAGCTGTGACTAAGTTGGCTGGGCCATTCCAAAAACACTCAATGGTGTCAGCTCTCACCAGGTCTGACCACTGCAGATGACCAGACTCTGCAGCCGCAGGCAGGGGTAAAAAGAGAGACTTTGTGCACTCTCGCAGCCCTTGAGGGTGCGATGAGCACTTGCATCCTCATGGTGCAAGGCCCCACTAAGAGCTTACAGATGCGAAAACCTGAGTATTTCCGCCTGTGGGCAGAAGACATGCAAAGCCGCATTTCTCATGGCCCCGCGCGGGAGGTAAGTCCCACACCCTCGCCTTTGCCTTTTGTCTCCTACACCGGACCGTCCGCATCGGTACCCTGACTGATGTTCAGCCTGGCCACAGCCCAAACTGGAGCAGGGACTTTGTGACTCGAATCTTGTCGCTCCGCGCTGCATTTTTACTGACTGGCGTGGCCGTCACTGCTGCTTGAGGCAGACAGGGCAAGAAAACCAATGATGCCAAAGATCCTTCGCTGCAACCGTGACCCTGGATGTTTGTGGTCAACCGTAACAAGATGACAGCAGACAGACTTGAAGTAACATTTGCTACAGCGGTTCATGGTCGTGTTTGGAAGCCTGGAGATACTGCTTGAAGCATTTCATGTTGTGCACCTGTGCTATGCTGCCATGGCGTATTCTCAGGAGCCGCTTCCCGGGCGTACGCAGAGAAGAGCTGGCAGCACGTGGCCCGGCCAGCGCCGGTATGGGGATTTTGAACTTTCTTCATGTTTCTTCTGCAGGGGTCCTTATAAAACTACCGAAGCCGTTGCAACAATTGGAAAGCAGAGAGCCTTCAGTCTTCATGCTAAGTTCTTCGCCCAGATTTCCAATGAAGCTTTCTCGCTCAGGTGCCTAATTCGGGTGCAGAGCGACTGCTCCCGGGGAAGCATGGAAGACTGACGACCATGCAGCACAGCTTGGGGAAAAAAGGGCCAGTGCGAATCAACATGTTTGCTTCACGTTTTGGCTTCAAAATGTCATAGCCACTCGTCTGCCTGACTAAGAGATTTTGGTGTTGTCGTGGATTCTCTTGCAGCTTTTGCTGCTGAGGACGTCCGATCACACCGGGGCCCGGCAGCTACGATACCTGCGACTGGACCTTGTTGGATCATTTGATATGTCCCCATAATCTGGTCGAAGCACAGCAGAAGATCTGACAACTCAGCTCCCAGAGTTGTTATGATAGGTCATGAACACATCACAACCGCTGGTGCTTAGGTAGAGGCGGCAGTGCGCCTGGCTTTACAGTAAGGCGGCTGCACACAATCAGAGAGTTCCTTGTAGCTTCTCTCCTATGTATTAGTTGCCGCCTGGCGAAGAGGTGGGCCTATTATTGAAGGAGTATTGAGGGTAATTGCTATTACTACTGGTGCTGATATTGCTCTTATGATGATTATTTCCACTCTCATTACTATTTGTTCTACGTTTGTTTTTGTTTGCTCAAGGGCTGTCCTCTGGCCTCGCAGCTCCTTGGCTTCCGGCTTGATTGAGCGTCCTTGATTCGCAAGAAGGAAGAAAGGTCATATTTTTTTAGCATATTCCATGACTTCTTCAGCATGAGTCATTATATTTGAACAACTCTTATCGTTTCCGCAATTTCGTTCATCGTTGTTCTTCACTTGTCTTTTCATCTTTTTTATCGGCTTCCATCGTCTTCCGTAATTTTCAGAGCTGCTCATCGCATGTAGCCATGTTCATCGTAATTGTTGATAGGTGTTTATCATCTTCATCACGTTTCACCATATTCATCATGTTTCTCGACGCGCCTTTATGCTCGTGCTTTTTGCAATGTTGCATGAATTGTGATCTTGTTTCATCTTTTGTTGCCATTTTTTTCGTAGTTCGTCAAGTCTCATCATGTTTCATCATGTCTCATGATTTTCCGCAGCTGTTCATGAGTGTTCACCATCTTCCATAACATGTTTCATCATCTCTCACCAATTTCCAGTGATCGCAATCATCATGAGTTTGCATTCGTTTCATTATACACAATCATGGTTCGGTAGTTGCAACATTTCTCCTCATCGTTTGAACAGGCTTCGTCATTTTCATCATTTATTAGCACGCTTCGTCCATTTTCATCAGTTTCATCATCTTTCACGATGTTGCGCACTTTCCTTTCTTGGTTTTTAGAATTTGCGTCATTTTGCCTCAATGAAAAAATATCATTGGGTTGAGTGTCCAGGGATAGCATCGGGAGAATGTGCTCAAGGCACCTCGAACCTACATCAAGCCAGCCCTAACGCTTAACATTTATTGACCACATGTGGATAGCTACCAGTGGGCAACCTTGAAAACAAACATGTTCTCAATGTATGAAAGTGGGGTGAAAGAAGCTTGTACGTGGCCATCAGTGTGTGCTGTTTTGGGAAGGGCTTTTGAGCTTTGATTTGTGGTGCCCTGACTTGCCGGGTGCAGGCGACAGAGAGAGGGTTGGAAAAATCGATGAAAATCATGAGCAAATAATAAACAGGATTGACATGGATTGACCATGTCTTTAAATATGCACGCAAATTTTGATGGCATGCGCTGAATGAATAAAACTCATGAAATATGATGGAAAATCTCGCGACTTAATGAAAAGCGATGAAGTGCGATGAACATGAATGTAACATGAAGCATGATCAAGCATGGTTAAAAAACATGAATTTGAGACCATCCCCTTTACCAGCACACCCCATACTTAAATTTGTTTCGTTTGGTAACTGTGTAAAAGCGATTGGAATGCTAAAGACATCTTACAACCACCATGCAAGAATCCAGATGTTCTCGTCTTGTGGCGACTGCCCCGTACAACCCTCCAACTAGCTGAAAAGCATTTCCACACTTTGTATCCAAATCCTGCTCACACGTGGAACGTCCCCTCATTTTGGCTCCACAAGGTGCTCTCCCTTGGGATGTCATCGCAATTTGGTTTAAAAT